CAGTCCTCTTGAGTTGCCCTGGGTGGAGTGGGCAAGAAAACTGGGGGCTTCCTTGGAAGTTTGTAAACACCCCTCCGTAGCCCTCTCTGAAATTGAGGAAACGTGTCTGGGGGGAGATTATGGCAGGTGGCATGCTGTGTCCCAAACGTCCATGACTTACTTCACTGGTGGTTCTGCCACAGTAGGGAGAAAAGCTGGCCAGGCTCCCTCTCCATGGCCTTCTAGGCAAACCTCACGAACCTCTGAGCCTTGTTTCATCATCTTTCAAATAAGCCAGGATGACTGTGAGGATGGGGGCAGCACACTGGGAGCACGAGTGACTGGTGCCTTGGAGAGTCTTGTGCCAGCTCTCTGGCCCCTGCAGACTCTGATACTTAGCATCTCTGTCACCCTGGGCAAGTGACCACATTTCTGAGCTTCAATTTCAGCCCCTCTATAGCTCAGGACTGCCTGCTTCTGAAGCACCCCAGGACCTGGCCCAGGGAAGTGCTTATAACTGCAGCATCGAGGTGACATGCTGATCTCTGTTCCCTACAGGGTCTCCTCTGGGGTCTTTGAGCCAGTGGTGATTGAAAGCCATTGAGGAGCAGGTGAGCCGGCTGGAGAATGGCCCTGCCATCTTGGTTATCCAGACCCACAGCATTCCACGAGGAACCTTTCCCTTTGGATCCGCGCCGCATCTCCTCTGTGCCTCATCCATGTACTCTAGCCCACACCTGCCCCCAAGCATAATTCCATTGTCCTCCCATCCATGCGGGGAGCCTCCTAGCCTATGAAGGCCTGGGCACCACTGTGAATATTCTCTGAACCACTAGAGGGCAGGACAGGCGGGCCCATGCTGCAGAGGAAGCCAGAGATGGCCAAGACTGTTCCTGCCAGAGACTGACCTGGCCCCCAGCCAAGGATGCGCAGCAGCTTCTCAACATGTGGAACTGCTGTGGCCAAGGGGCTTCACCCCCTGTGACTCACATCAGGAGCACCAGCTTCAGCCAGGCCCCAACAAGGCCTTGCTCCATTGCCTCCATGTCCTCAGGGGACCAGACCACCCCCAGAATCCTGCCACCTGTGACCCGCTGCTTAGTACTTCAGCTGTCCCTTCCCTGTGTCCTGGGGGAACCGCTGGCGGCCTCTTCCTAGGAGCCAAGACCTCAGACCCCACCCGCATTCCAGATGAGAACTCGCCCTCCCCAGTGATGTTCTGCTGCCCTGGCAGCCTGCACTTTGCACATGCTCGTCCCCAGCACGGTCCCATCAGGCCACTCTTCCCCTTCCCTGTGCCACCTTCCCGAGGACTCCTGGGTGCTGCTGCTGTGCAGCCAGAGGCCCGGGGTCAAGCAGCCCGGCTGGAACGGGGCTCTGCCTCTGCTCTCTCTAGCCCAGCCCAGGCCTAAGACCTGTGCTGAGAAAGGCCTGAGCTTATGGTACCCTCTGCTCAGGGCTGGATCCTGAGCAGCTGGCTTTCCTGCGGGAAGGACTGGGGCCCAGCAGGGCTGGGCAAGCACAGTCCCCAGCTCTGCGCTCAGGTCAGCTGGCCCAGGCTGGGGCCCTGCTAGAGAGGTGAGTGGGCTCTGGCTGGAGCTGGCTCCCTGCCAGACAGGTCCCCACCCTCCTCTGTAAGCACCCCCACCTCCAGGTTCAGAAGAGGTCGGTCCATCAGGGGCCTGCTTTCCCAGTGGGGAGCAGACTGGCCCTGCCCCCACCCTCCCCTTGCCCAAGCCCCTGCTCTCAGCACTTTCGCCTGTGGTCCTTGTACTGGCTTGAAGGAGGGCTCTGGCTGCCTGCCAGGCCCTGGACAGACTTCCCTGCCCCCGAGTCTCTCTTATTTTGTATAAACCCAGCGGGCTGGTGTTTAGTTAGCCCTATAGGTTTTTTTTTTTCTTCTTCTTCCCTTCCTTTTTCTTTCTTTCTTTTTTTTTCTCTTATTTTAGTTCTCAGTTCGATGTTTCCTCCTCCTCCAGTGAGGGGAGGTGCCTCTGTTCTCTGCCCCCACCTGCTGGCTGGGTCCCAGCAGGACTGTGGAACCAGGTGGGACCAAAGCCAGGGCTCTGGTTCTCTCTGGGTAGGGTGTAAGTGTCCTCCCCAGGTGGGAGGGTTCCTCACCCAGTCCCCAGCTGGCAAAAGTTGGGGTTTGGAACTCCCTGGCATTGGGACCAGAGCATTTCTGGGGTTTTTGTTGTCATTGTCTCAATCACCTAATAACTCTTTAGAAAGTGAATGTCAGAAGGTGCCTGCCAGGGTGACAGCATGGGCTGTGGCTGGAGAAGGCTCTGGTCAGCTTAGAGAGTCTTTTCTACCTGGCAGAGACCTGGCACTTTAAAAGGAAACTGGCTGCACTGTCTCAGATGAGGTGACCCCTAGAAGATGGGGAAGCTGCGTCTGTGACCTCACTCAGCCCAAGGAGGTGCAGTCAGGGTCTTATTGGGGTCTGATTCAAGGTTCTGGGGCTCTCGGCACAAAGCAGCTTTGATGCTGTGGGGGACGACTACCCCATACCAGGAGCTCCAGCCCCACACAAGCTAAGGTTTGAGCTGGATGGTCCCCTCAAAAGAAGACAGTCTGCCACCTCCTCCCAGGCCAGGCCCTGGGTCAAAGTAACAGGTCTGAGAATTAAACCATAACCAAATGAAGGCTGGCTAGAGCCAGAGGCCTGGAGCTCTGGCCCCCTCGCCACGTGAGAGCCATTGCTTCAGCCCTCAGGTTCCTTCAAGCTCAGTGAATTCCACCAGGCACCTTCAGTGCCTGGACTTCAAATTCTATATATACAGAGAGAATATATTAGAGATATTTTTGGAAAGGAATTGGTCTGTGCAATGCCAGTCTGGAATCTTCTTGAAAGTCAGTTTAACGTTTTTACCAGGAGATTTAAAGAAAATAAAGGTCTACAATATTTTTAAGGTTCATTATTTTCTAGTCACCCCACAAATGATCTGCCAGGATGGAGAATGTCCCTGTCTTCCTGTCTAGAGAAGATGGAGGAGGGCACCATGGATTGTTTTTTTGTTCATTTGTTTCTTGTTTTTAATCCTCCTTTCTAACAGAATGTTGCCACCACTGCTCTCCATCCTGTGGGCTGTTTGTATCTCTATCCCAGCTTCTGTCATAGAAAATAACATTGTAAGGGGAACTCAGCCTAGTGTCAGTGTCTTGGTTTGGGGGGTGGGGATTAAATATTGCATTTTTTGTTTATTTTGCTGTTTTGTTTTTTACCTTGCTGTTTGCCATATTGACTTTGGGGTCAAAGACAACATCAGAAGGAAGCTGGGTGTGTTAAGGTGACAGTCCATGGGTGGGGAAGGCCTAGATGACCAGATTCTCCAAGACCTGACTGCAATCACAGTTGTCACCTCCTTATTACTACAGATTCCTGGGGAGGAAGCAGGCCCAGGGGGGCAGTTGCCATGCTCACACCTACTGAAAGCTCTGACATCTGAGCCAGTGGGTTCTGACCAGGCTCTGCAGGTCAGGTGGCCTCAGAGGAGTCTGCCTGAGGGCAAATAATTACCTGGTTCCTCAGTTGCAAATGCAGATAAATGAAAATGTGAGTGTACAACTCAAGCCACCGGAGGTAGCCATCTCTTCCCAGCCTTTCTAAAGCCCCTGAAAGGCCTTGTCTCCAGGCCCCTCACCCTGTTCCTGGGTCCCCAAGCCACAGAGGAGCCCAGTGGGTTAGCCAAACTCTGGGAAAGGCTAAGTCACCCCATGCCTTCAATGAGCTTAGAGGTGTCAGGAAGCCTAGAGGTTTGGGCCAGGCCAAAAGAAGGCAGCCACTGACTGTCCCAAAACATCATGATATCTCCACTCCTCAGGGCTGACCCCAATCATGGCCCCTTTAAGCCCCAGAGGGCGGTTATCAGTTCCTTCCCCTATGCAACTCTTGGAAGGGGAAAGTTGACTCAGGGGCCCCTAAAGACAGTGACAGACCTAAAGGACCCAAGAAGACATTCTGTCCCCAGAGAGCGAGCTATGCCAGATTCCCACCTCATCTATCTCCCAAGCTCCAAGTAGAGATAGCAGAAGCTGGATGAGTCACTCACATCTCCCACTCTGTGCCAAGCCCCATTCTGGGTGCTGGGGATACAGTCACGACCACAGACCCTACCTTCAGTGAGTTCACAGGTAAGCAGGCCCAGGCCATGGAGCAAATCAGCTAATTCAAATATAGCAATGTGACAGAAACACATGTGGGGGCACAGAGGAGCCCTTATCTCTAGAAAAAGCAGCTTCCTGTGGACAGTGTGGCATCTGGTGAGACCTGATGGGTGAGAAGCAGCCACCTCAGGCACTGAAAGCATCAAAGATGATCTGGCCCAATCTCCCCTTGTTGTCAGAGGAAAGCACCTCCATGACAGGATAGACCTGCCCACAGGGACTGTCAGAAACCTGTGTCACCCTGGGCCTTAGGTGCAGTTGATGAAGGGAGGAGTCACCTGGATGGCCAGGAAAGCCAGGCCATGGTGGGTTGGGCGTCCCCCTCTGCAACTGAAATCGAAATCCCAGACACTCGGGAGACCAAGGCAAGAGGATTGCTAGTTTGAGGTCAGCATTGGCAATTCAGTGGGACCCTCTCTCTAGAAATAAAAAGCGCTGGGGATGTAGCTCAGTGGGAGAGCGACCCTAAATTCAGTTCCCACACGGAAAAAAAAAAAAAAAAAAAACGAAACAAAGAAGTCCTCCCCATTCCTGCGGGCTCAGGCAGTGAACACGCTTTGCACTCCTTCCCTAAGCAGACAAATTAGGGCCTCGGAACCAGGGAGTGGGGTCCCCAGGTTCCAACATCGGATTCATCACCCACTGCGATTATTATCTTTGGAAGACGGGACTTCACACCCGAAACCCCTTCTAGCTCTGGCTTTGGGCCTATGGGATGTTTAGAGATGGACTTTTTGGAGGAGCGGGTCTGAGAGGAGTGTGGCCACCAACGCAGTCGGAGTTCTCAGCTCGATTCCGCTCCCTAGGGAGATCCGGGAGGCAACCCGCTTTACAATCCTCTTGAACAACTACATTTCCCGACATGCAAAGGGCGGGGGCGGCTGCCGGTCTCGGGTGACATGGGCCTGGGCCGTGCTATGGACTACGACTCCCAGCGTGCTCCGTGGCCTAGGGCCGGAAGGGCCCGGATCCGGAATTGGATGTGGTTCACTGCTCAAGTGGCGGAGCTGGGGGGAAATGGTGAGGTTGAGGCCGGGTGCCTGTGGGGTCGGAGGCGTCTGAGGGTGGGGCTGGGGGGTGCTCGGGAGCGGAGGCTTGGGCACTCGGAGCCGGATTGCTCTCTCCTGGCCCGTGTACGGGTGAAAATGCTGAAGCCCGGCGGGAGCGCCTGGAGATGATGCAGAATCCGCCACTCTGTACAGCTGTTGAGTGAATGAGAAGTTTAGAGCATAAATTGGCCGCGATGCCTCTTCCAGTAGTGCACCTAAATGGATAGTCGCTTCGTCTTCTGAGCCCTCCCTTTTCTCCAGGCCACAGGAACAGACCAGGTGGTGGGACTCGGCCTTGTTGCTGTTAGCCTGATCATCTTCACCTACTATACCGCCTGGGTGATCCTCTTGGTATGTCTGCCTCCTCCGCCCTCGGCTCACCTTCCCCCATCCCTGGATCTTGAAGTCGACCCCTTACACCATGTGAGCAGCTGCTATGTGCCAGGCACTATGCGCGGTGCTTTACTTGCCTTATATCAAGAAGTCTCCAGAAAGCACTAAGAAGGTGCTAGTGGGTTCTGCATTTTGTAGATGATGAAGCTGAGGCCCAGAGAGAAAGGTCTGGCCCAAGTTTGCCTCTCTACACTTGGAAGGTTGCACAACATTGGGAAGCCCTGATCCGGGTTTGCTTTGCTTTTGAGGGGGGTTCTGCACTCCTTTAGCCGGCTGGCTCCTGAGTATATTAAGCAACCATGGGTTTTATGAGGACTTTAGGGGGGTTTTGTTTTGTTTTCAAATGGAAAAATCTGCTTAATAAGTGCAGTGTGTTTGGAAGACAAACTCTTTCATAACTTGATATCCTGTAGAGAAAAAATATTAGTAAAAACGACCTGGGAACCCAGACTGGGAATTTCTGGTGAGGCCCGTAGCTAGACTCTCTTAGGGCAGGTCCTTTGTCTTCTGTTCACTGCTGGCTCCCCAGCACTAACCTAGCACAGGCACTGAGCAAGTGCTCAGCAAACAACTTTTAAATGATCAGAGGAAGAAACAGCAACACCCAAAATGCTATCATCTTAAAGAAAAGCAAATGCTTTCCCAATGCTCTGAATGGAGTCAGTCCTTTGGAGGAGATGGGATGTTTGGGCTTGGGGGCTGGGCAGGGTGAGCAGTGCTCATCAGAGCTCTGCCCCTCATGCCAGCCATTCATCGACAATGAGCATGTCATCCACAAGTTCTTCCTCCCTCGAGCATATGCTGTTGCCATCCCGCTGGCCGCGGGTCTCTTGCTGCTCCTGTTTGTGGGTAAGTCATCAGCCCCAATCCTGGGAAGGATGTCACCTTTGCCACCACCCTCTCCTACCCTTGACATGCTTTCACACTTTGGCAATTATTATTGTACATCTGCTTGAGGCTTCTGGACCCCTACTTTCCCTGAGGTTTCTAGGCCACAAGTCAGTAACTTCTCTGGTCTTCCCAATGCCTCAGGCTCTTGGGACTAAGGGCTTGACTGTCTCCCTTTTCCTCTCCCCTCCACCATCATCACTTGGCTCACACCTCAGTCACTTCCCACCCTCTTGTTGCCCTGGATCATAGATCCTGCATCTCTTTACCTCTCATGGCTTCCTTGGGAAAGGAACTGTGTCTTCAGCACCAGCACAGGCTGTGACACTGAGTTGGTGCTTTAGAGTCAATCAACGGATGACTGGACAATGGGATTAATGAACCGGTGGGTGGTGGGCAGGTAGTAGGAGGGCAGGGGCATGAATAGGGGAGTAACACATGGACCTCATTTTGGCCATGGAATCTAAAGCACTAAATGGAGCTAGCATCTTGCCTGTGGCAGGCACTCACCGTGACTGTTGAATGGATGAGTGGATTTGTGGTTTGATGAATGAACGGGAAGGAACATGAGCAGCTGGCCTGGGGGTGGTTGGGCAGGGACATGACTCTCCATGTGGTCATTTCACCCTGCCCTGGCCTCCCAGCACCACCAGCATGGTATCAGCTGGTCTCTCTGGTCCATACATTCCAGGATTATTCATCACCTATATTATGCTGAAGAACCAGAGGGTGACCAAGAAGGCTCAGTGAAGGCCCAAAAGAGAGGAGGCTGCCAGCATCTTCTCTCCGTCCATCCCCTCCAGAGCAGGGACCAAGGGTCAGAGCCTGTAGGACAGTCCAGGCGAAGCAGCCCCTCCAGCCTGGCTGCCATGCAGCCCTCTTAGGAATGGAGCTGCTCAGGCAGACCAAGCCTCTCCTGCTCACTCTTCCAGAAGCCAGGAGGAGGGAGAAAGACCTGGAAGCCTCCCTTTCATTCCCTTCCGTCTCAGGGCCTGCCCGCCTCACTCTCAGACCATCCCTTTTCCCTCTGGGTTCCACCTCCTTGCTCAGTTTCCCTCCAGTGACATGCTGATGACGTGGGACTTAGCAGGGTGTGAGGAAGCACATGGCCTCTCCCTGTGTCCCCTGAGCACTGCTGCTCCCCAAAGGCAGCTTCTGAGTCGGACACAGCCCAGACCCCACAAGGACATCTGGACCTGGAAAGCCCTGGGGAAAGCCTGAAGACCCCAGGGCACTGGGACACATTAAGGCAGCCACCCCAGGCCCCCAGGCCATGTTTACCTAGGACGAGCAGGCTCCTGGCCCAGAGTGGCCTGTTTGGGAGAACTCAACAATAAATGTTGATGGTATGTTTGTCTCTCTGTCTTCCTTGACTAGGGGAGCGGGGATGGAGGGGCTTGGGGCTGGTCCTACATGGGTCTCTAATCAGGAGACCCGGGTTTGTGCTGTGCCTGCTCTGTACTGTCCCTGTGCTGATTATGGGCTAAAGCAGGAACTGGGACAGATGTAGTTCTGACTGCTAGAGTTCACAGCTGGGGAGTAGGCAAAGGCATGCCCCTCTAATACTTTAATTTAATATGGTCTAATATTTTAAGGACCCTTGGGTCACTCCCCTAAGTGCCCCAGTCTGTGGTCCATCTCCTGCGTCCAATAGCCCAAGTCAGTGTGGCTGTGGCAGGCTGCTTTCACTGGGTGTTCTGTTGAATGAGATGGCAGAGGAGACAGCCTGGCCATCTGTCCCACCAGCCCCTCTGAGCCTCAGCTCTCCCCGATGCACTTAGGGAAAACCTCCATCCCTCAAACCTTGGGTGCTCACTTGTCACAGAGAAAAGGGGACCAGCTGCAGACACAGTGGCCCATCCTCAGCTGCTCCACCCTCTCTATCCTCCAGGCCAGGCAGAGCTGCCCGCTGGGCTTTGGATCCTGTCTCTAGTAGAAGTGTCCTGTCGTTGATGGTCCCCTCTCTTCTGGGAACTGTCTGTGTAACCAGCTCCTCCCAGTATGTCCTACCATGCTCCAGGCTCTCGCTTACAGGACCCTCCATCAACCCGATGATTCCCTTCAGGTCACCCCCTCCCACTCTCACCTCATGCTGTACTCAGTCTCTCCCCATCACTCCAGGAAGACTGTACCCACCAAAGCTATCAGTGATGTCTGCTCTTTAAATTCAAAGGACACTTCTGCTCCATTAAGCTTGTGACATCTTTCAGTCTGTGACGACTGTTCTGTTTGATGTGTCTCTGGCCCTCATACTCCTCTATTCTGCCATGAGATGCTGGGCTCTTCAGGGTCGGGTTGCAGGCCTTCTCTCCCCATACCCTCCCTGGGTGACATCACCTTTCTTCTTGTCACCTTGCAGAGTCTCAGTGCCCCTCCCCACACTCTTGAGCATATCACCTTATTTCCTTCATCGCCCTTCACACTGTGAGATTGCCTGGTTCGCTTATTACATTGCCCCCTAGAGTGGGCATGCCACCCATGCAGGAACCATGCAGGCCTCATTTCCCAGTCAGTGCCCAGCAGAAGCTTGTGCTTGATGAGTATACATTGGACCCTTGTGAGTAGGGGGTGCCTTCGGCCTGGCTCTCCTTTCAGCCTCGATGCATTAGTCCCTAGCTGTCCGCTGGAGGTTGTGTTGGGACCCCAGATTCATCTATCATGAGCTGAATTCTCACTTCCCCCAAATCTGGCTTCCTTCATGTCCTGTCCCTCTCATGACTGATGTTCTATGTCCCCAACCCTGGCTTTCCTTCCCAACTCCGCATCCACATAACCCCAGCCTCTGCCAGTTTTCCCTCCCCTAATCTCACCCCAGCCAGCCATATTTCTGGTGCCAAGATACCATCCTCTGCCAAAACCAGGGAAGGCTTCCTCACTGCCCTCTCCTGTATTCCAATGTGATTGTGCACAATAACCAATGTCCTTTCCTGTTTCCTCTCTCCACATTTTTTTATTGAGCATTTGTACATAATACCAGTGTCCTTTCAAAAATGCTTATCTGAGGCTGTGCCTGTGGCTCAGTGGTAGAGCGCTTGCCTAGCATATGTAAGGCACTGGATTAGATCCTCAGCACCACATACAAATAAATAAAGGTATTGTGTTCATCTACAACTAAAAAAATAAAATGCTTGTCTGGGGGATTGGGGATGTAGCTCAATGGTAGCATGCTTGCCTGACATATACAAGGCCCTCAGTTCTATCCCCAATCCCACCAAAAAAAAAAAAAATGCTTATCTGAGCATCTTTCTCACATTTGCCTTTACTTATAATGCTTCTCCCGGGTTCCTCAAGACCACTGTCAACAGTAAGCCCCTACATGCCCAATGATGTTCTCTAATCACTTCAATCACTCTGGTCTTTCACTTCCTGGGACTCATCAAGGCCCTTTGCAACCCCTACTCACAAGAGTCCAATATATACTCATCAAGCACCAGTTTCTGATGACACTCACCAGGAAATGAGGCCCATGTGGTTCCTGCATGGGTGGCACTCATTCTCTAGGGGGCCAATGTAATAAGACAATAAATGACCCAGGCAATCTCACAGTGTGAAGGGAAATGAAGAAAATAAAGGTGACATGCTCAAGAGTGTGGGGAGGGGTGCTGAGTCCTGCAAGGGGACAAGAGGGACCAAGGCAAGTGAAAGTCTGGGGGAAAGGACTTTAAGCAAAGGAACAAAAAGCCTCCAGCTAAGAGTTTGGTGGGGGAACAGCAGGGATCCAGGAGGCTGGCTGAGGCGGGTGGAGAGGGAAGATAGTTAGGATTGGGGCAGACAGACAGGCCTGGGGTGATGGCAAGGAGTTTGAATGTTGTTCCATTGTGGCTTTAAGCTTGAGAGTGACATCATCGGATTTATGCTTTTAAAAGATCACACTAGCGGCTGTATTCTACCCACTTGCTTGCCACTAAATTTCCGGGCCTAGCCGTGTTCCCGGCCCCAAGTGGGTGTTCCAAATATATGCGATGAGTGAATGGATTCTCCGACTTCCTGTGTGACCTGGAGGTAGTCTCTGGATCTTAGTTTCATCTCTTCAAAGACAATTGATGGGAATTTCACAACTGAATGAGTGGGCGGGGCAGGATTGAGGTTACCCGCCCCCCCACCATGGGCCCAGGAGAGCCGCATCCCAGACCCCAGGAGGGAATGTGGAGGTCCTCGCTCACCAGGACCCTAGCTAGCGCCCCGCGGCCCCGCCCCTCCTGGACCGCGGTCTGAAAGATGCTGCAGCCTCAGAGGCGGGACCTGCAGGCGATCGCCAGCGCCCCCCGCTCCGATTGGACGCAGCCGAGGCCGGTGCCGCGCGATTGGTCAGCCTTGAGGCAGGGGCGGAGCCTGGATCCTGCAGCGGGGCGGCAGGGATGCGGCCAAAGCCCGGGAAGCTGCTGCGGGGGCGATGGCCGCACCAAGCCCCGGGCCTCGCGAGGTAGGTGCGGACCTGAGAGACGACAGGGAACGGTTGGAGGGCAGGGGTTGGGCCTCCCCTCAGCCAAAAAACGCGGACACGCCCCCATCCAGTCAAGGAGGGGCTCTACCCTGGGTGAGGGCCAGGACACGCCCCACATGAGGTACAGGTATGAAGAAGGAGGGTGATCTGGCGGGTATTCCCCAGGTCTTCCTCAGTTTCCTTATAGGAAAATGGGGATGATGACAAAAGCTCCTCCTTCATAGGGCTGTTAGGAGATCCAGCTCAGCCAGTGCTGGACACATGTTGGGCCAACTGGTATTGATCTCAGCATCGTGCTGACCCTCCACGCTGGCCTGGAGGAGCTCAGCATACATGCGCAGATATGTGACTGAATCACCGGCATCACAGCTCCTGCTGTCAAGGCTTCCTGTGCTTGAGCTCAAACTCAACAGTAACACAGCTGCTACCTGCCGCGCAGGAGTTACTATAGTTCTGGTGTTGCAGGTGGAAAGTGAGGCAGGGGTTTACCCAGGGCGATTGATGAAAGGATGTCAGCTTCCGCTTGGTTTGACGGCAGAACGCATGCTCTGCCTATGATAACCATTGCTCTGTTTGGATGCTGAGGGCCAACACCTGGTGAGATGGGCACAGCATTATCTCTATTTTACAGTCGAGGAGACTGAGGCAGAGAAAGACGAGAGGAAGACTCACAGTAGTGGAAGTGGGACTTAAACCTGGGTCTTTCTCCTCTGAGATGACTTCACCTGCCCTTTGCTTCCTCTGCCTCTTCTCACCAGGTCCTGGCCCCCTCCCCAGAGGCTGGACGCAGAGCAGCCACATCAAGCTCCAGCCGGCGTGGCATCCTCTGGCGCCTTCGAGACAAGCAATCACGCCTGGGTCTGTTTGAGATCAGCCCAGGGCATGAGCTGCATGGGTTGACATGTATGATGCAAGCAGGGCTCTGGGCAGCCACCCAGGTCTCTGTAGACCACCCACTCATGGTAAATGGCCAGGCGGTCTCATGCACCCCACAACAGTAAGGGCAAGATCTGGATGATGGCCTGCCTTGCTAATTCTGCTGAACTGAGGATTAGAGAGGGCTAAGCAGAGGAAGGGACAGGTTTGTGCCTCCTGCAGGGAGAGAGGAACATTCTGAGGTGGTGGAAATCCTAGGTTCTTGGGGGTGTAGGGACCCCTTGACTGAAGTGATTGCTATGAGACTCTAAGTGGGCCTCAACCTTTCTCTAGGCCCCAGTGCCCCCATCTGCATAATGGATGGAGGGATTTATATTCTGGTTTCTGAGGTCATCCCTTCCCTGTCAGGGTGTACAGTTGAGAAGGGATCCCACCCCCACCCTGCCAGCCCAGCCCATCCTCCCTGGAGCTTATGCTGGGGCCATGCTGGCTCAGCAGAAAGGGTCACCCAGCTGCAAGCTCAGCAGCTGGGCAGGCCTGGGTGAGCATGTATGTTGTTTGTGTGTGTGCACATGTGCACAGTTTGGCCATATCACATGGCCAGGGCCTGGTACAGAGACCTGGGGTTGAGGGAGAGTCCCCAATGAGTCTAAACCCAATCTGAATTCTACACCAGCTGAAAATCTTCCACAGGGCCCCAATACTCGGCATGGCTCAAGACCCTGCTGTCTATAAGGGTCAACTGTCCAACCTCATCCTCATTCCATCTCTGCCTTACTGGCTACTGAGTGCACCTGCTCCCTTGCACACTGCTCCACAATGATGGCATTGCCATGAGCACCCTCTCCACTACCCTTCATATTTCAGCTTAGGGTCAGGAAGCCTCCAGGAAACCTTCTGTGATCCTGCCCCTTCCAGGATGTATCAGGCAGGTCCATCTCTCTGTACTGGATGAAATCTGACTTCACTTGGCTAACACTTGTGTCTGAGTGATGTGCCATGCTTGACTCAGAGCCTGTGCTGAGGACC